GCTAAAATTAATTCTTACACACTTGAGAACCTCAATGACTCAAGAACGATTTAGTAGCTTAACAATATTAAGTATTGAAAAAGACGTACTTAATACCTTAAATTTTGATAGTTTAATTGATGCATTTGCAGCAGCAAAAGCACGAAAGGTTCATATAATGTAACCATGAATATCAGAATGATACCTGTACAAGATCTTGTTAAGTATATGTACAGTTTTGTAAACTAATAAAAATTTGTTATTTGTAAACTTAAGTAGTATTTTATCAATATATTTTATAATCCATGTACACCACAAGTGACTCATATAACGCATAAGTTTCAAACTAGGGATATAACAGAAATTTATTCTGCATGCTTGAAAGATTACTCTATCTATGTGACTTTGAACAATACATGACATAAATATCAAAATGGTTTAAAAATTATGTAAGTACAATTAGTCATTAGTTCCAGGTTTACAGTTGTGATATCGTGAGATGTTATATTGTGACTTTATTTTAGGCCTGTGTAAGCTGGTAATTAATTATTTATGTTATTGTCATTAAGTGGGTAATGTGTCACAAAACAAATAATCAAAACGTTTCAGAGGTGGGGGCGCCAAAAGTGTCTTTGACCCCGAGTACTGAGAAGCCTTGCTACGCCACTGGTCATGGCTTAACTTTTTCCACGCTCTATATTTGCAAGGTAATAAAAAAATTAGGAAACTGATGGTTTATGGGACTGTAATATTTTTGAAAAAGCATTGTAAAATATTCTAAACTGTAGATGAATAACTTGTTAAAATCTTCAAATATCCGCCTCTTAAACTACGAAAAGTAGACTATCATCCATAGAGAGAGTTGATCTTCTATCAATAGCACCTTTTTCTAAACATTGAGAAAACTTTCAAGAGTGTTTGACATAATAAGTGTAACTTATAATACAGTATTCTTAACTGATAATTAAGCTATCCTTATCATTTTATTTACTTTTTTATAAAACGCATTAAAGATTAAATTTTTGTGGTGGTGTTAGGGTAGCAGATGTTTCAAGAGAGATGTTGTAAGTTAACTGTTAACATTCTTTTCAGATATAACATTGTTTTCAACTAAGAAAAATGAAATAAGTTTTAAAGATTCCATATGAAAGAGTTACTTGGAGCATAAGTACAAACACCTCATCTAGATAATAAATATGTACAATATTTCATTACCTTATCTTACAGTAAGGAAAAACGTTGTAGTAAAATCCTAAAAAAGTGTATAAATCAACCAAATGAAATTACTAGATTTCATTTATGTTAGAAAGTAAACTTAAACATCTATGTAATAACCTCTATAAATTTAAAATAAAATAAGAAAAAAATTAATTTTTAAAGTATCTGCAGCAGTTGTGTTTTCTATCAAATCCATCCTCAAAACTTGTAAAATTGTAATGAATCTCAAACAGACATTCATCACAGTACAAATAAAAAATGTAAACTAGAAATTTGTAGATCTCAGTTGAAGCTCATTGAATTTTATCACTCTTAAAAAATAAAACTTTTATCAAAAAGAAATCCTCAGAGAAGTAGTAATCTGATCTAATCGGAAGGGTAAAACACATGAAGATAGAAAACGTGGCAATAATTTATAATAGGTGGGGTATGATATTTGAAAATAGGTAGAATAAATTATATGATGTAATCATTATATCTATAAATAAACTTGAAATCAACACTGCTTTCATACACTTTAGAGCATTTTCAAATACTAAATTATGTTATGCGCAGTACAACAATATTAATATTAGAGATACAAGAGATGGAAACTGGAAGATCTGTAGAGCAGAACCATTTAAGTGTGATAAACGTTGAAACACTTAAATGTTAGTAGCTTAAAAACGTTTTGTACTAGTAATAGCCCATAGTATTCAGTAATTACGAGTATAAGATTGTGCCAACCTTGGAAGGAGCTGACACAAAAGCTCATCCGTTTTCTTCTTCTCCTCAATTAGTGACTGAGATTTCTCTTCGACCAGCTGTTCAAGATTGTTAGCATACTGTTCCATTCTGGCCAGCAAGTTATCAAGTAAGTTTTTATTGGATGCACCTCTGGAAACATAAAAAACGCAAAGTTTTCTACAAGTCTTTGTACAAAGAGAATGTACGTTTTGTTTTCAAATATAGTATAATTTTTTGTGTGAGCTTAAAAATATAATCTATAATCTAGATACTGTGAAATATTCCAGATGACCTTAGCAGGTAACATTTAGAGGTAAAGAAGCCAGCCAATTCTGCTCATGTAGCCGTAGTATGCAAAATTCACAAACCAAAGAGCCAGACAACATCATAAAATCAGGTTCATAACGTATATAACCAAAACTTGTGATATTTTTTCTTAGACCAACTACACAGTAGATTTTCTAATAATCCTATTCTTTTTGTTTCTATTTTGTACCAAATCACAGATAAAATAGAAATATCGATAATATTACACCATCTATAATAACTGGTACTTTAATGAAGTCAAAAAGTAAAGTTCGAAATCTATTCAAATATTTATATGTTCTTTCGACTATAGAGCTGTTATACATATATATATATATATCTGTGTGTGTGTGTGTGTGTATGTATATAACTTAACGACAACAAGAAACCTATTGGCTTATCCAGGCCGTTCTATCACTGCTATACTAAACTCTGAAATAAAAATAAAATACTCAAAGCCAGCTCTTACCATTCTGATGTTCATCAAGCCCTAACTTAAACTCCCTTAAATTAATTGCATCTACCACATCTGAAGGAAACATATTCCAAAAGCCAACCACCGTGTTTTGAAAATAAAACTGTCTTTGGTAAAGATGACTCCTACACTACAAAATTCATATTTATGTCCCCTAGTCTTACCATTCTGACATTTAAGTAGAAATAAAAGACGATGTATCAACATTATCAATCATTTTAACAATGCTAAACACTTCTATCATATCACCTCTAGTTCTTCTTTTTCTTTTTCTCAACAAAAAACAATTTCAGAGATGTTAACCTATCCCCATCCTAACCCTCCTCTGAACCTTTGCGAACAATTCAATGTCCTTTCTAAAGTAAGAAACCCAAGACTTAACATAGTATTCAAAATGTTGCTTAACCAATGAATTATACAATAACATTGTATGGAATATTTTTGTAGATAGAATCTAAAATCCTATTTCCCAGGCACTAGAAACAGCACATTGCTTACATGGTTTAAGAGACTTATCCACCAGAAAACCAAGACCCATTTCTTTCATAACACTGTTAAGGCTATTCCCATCAAATTTCCACCCATAATTCAAATCGTTATATCTCACACACATTGCATTCCATTTATTATAATTAAAAACCAAGTGCCATTTATGCGTTCAAATAAAAAATATTCCAAATCCTTTTGTAAAGCAGCAGCATCCTCACAACCAGCAAAACCCAAAACTTTAATATTGTCATCAAATTTAAACACTATAGGTCATTCCTTCATCTCTGTTGTTAACCTAAATAAAAAAGAGCAAAGGTCCTAACACCGAGATTCCCCACTTGTGACATTAACCCAGTTTGATTGAATGCTATTTATAACAATCCTGTGCCATCCAGCCCTTTTTTTATCCAATGAACCAACCTATATCCCACACCTAGAGAGATATTTTATAACAAGCCTTTTATGTGGCACTTTGTCCAATGCTTTTTGAATGTCCAGATGCACCAAATCTACACCCGTGCTCTCATTTACATGTGCAATAACCTTTTCGAAAAAGTCAAATCATCTTACAAAACACCTTTTCTTTAGACTTTCCAAAACTTTTTCCACTGCCCTACGATAAACAGCCCTATACTTTCCAGGACAATTTTTATCACCTCCCTTTAAAAGAGGACTAGCATTATCCAACTTCCAATCCTCTAGCACCTTCCCACTATTCGCGGAATTAGAAAATAAAATAGAAAGTGCCTCACATATCTCATTATTATCCTCCTTCAAAACCCTTCAGTAAATGTTATCTGCCCAAAAGCCTTAACATTCTTTAAACTTACTAATTATTTTAACAAGCTCAGCATTAATGTGATCACCTTGTTTAATGTTATTTTCATCTAGCAGCTGTTTAGAATGAGGAATATTGCGTAAATATTCATTAGTAAAAAAACTGAAGAAAGAATGTAAAATTTAGTAATCCAGCCATCCTATCATCATTAAACATCCTGTACCATCCCTCAAAGACCATCCTAACATTTTGTTTACCCTTAAAGTATTTGAAGAAATCTTTACTATTAATTTTTACACTTTCAACGAACTATTAACTATCTTCATCTTTTATAATCCTCCAAATCTCTCATTATTGCACTCAGTTTAAGCTTCATAAATTTATAATGCTTTTCTTTAATTTATCCTTTATCCCTGATTTTTTCATTTGCAGCCATCATTTTTTATACAAGGAACATGCGTATCATGAATATTTTTGAAATTTTATTTTCGAAGTTCTCCACACTTAATTAGTATCACCAATTAATTCAGTTGCCTATCTCACAGCAGATAATTATTTTCTCATCCTTTTAAAATTTGCTTTTTTCAACTCTATCAGAAACTTTTATATTAGGAATTAGCAATAAACCTAAAATACATTGTTCCTAGTAGTTTTCCCGCCTTATTGGTGAAGAAAACCATACGGAACGATTTCTAAAAATATGTTTCCCATATAACTTGACTATAGTATTTCCCAATCTGTATCCTATATTATAGCCAAATGAAGTCTTTATCTCAATGTAGAGTTTCAATTTAATTTCATTAGCTTTTTCCGATAGTCTGTAACAAAATCCAACTAAAAGCGTACTCCTTTTATGACCACTAACAGAAACTCAAACTGATTCAATCTCTTAGCTAAAAGCTTTAATATCCTTAACTTAAACAAGATGTAACTCACATTTTACATAAAAAGCCACTCCTTCGCTTCTTTATAGCACTCTTTGTTATATTTATGTAGTTCTACGTGGTAGTTCCTCTCTATAGTATTTACAATTCTGTAAAGCTCCACATAATCTCATGCTTTGATGTAGTTGGAATTAAGCTGCTTAATCAAATATTTACATTTTATATTCTATTTTGAAACAACATACTTAGCATGATCTAAAAAAAAAAACTTAATTTTTTGTTTCCAGCATTCGCGTAAAGCCACACAAAGACTGTATGCGCTAACCGTCCTTAATTTTGGTAAAGCTCCACATAATATAACGAATTGTATTGGTAGGCTACAGGAAAGGCGATTCATCAGCAGTATTCACTGTCATATCTTAGGCCACTCTAATCGAATAGTGTGTTTTGACCATCACTCTTATAATTATCTCTTAAATTTTGAAACCAGAATTGCGGCAACTTAACGCGAACCACGAACCTTCGGATTCACATTACTCCACACCCGACCCATTTTAAATATCCTAGAATTCAAGCACTTTTAACACCTCCTGGAAAATTTCTTAGCTTGGTTTTAGTTAAGTGATATATTCTGTATATTAACATTTAAAGCATTAACTCTAGGAAATGGACTTTTTGGAAGTTATCACGTGAAGAAAACTATGTAAAGAAAGGAATATTGATTGTTTGTTTATTTGGAATTAAGCACAAAGTTACACAATGGGCTGTCTGTGCTCTTCCCACCACAGGTATCGAAACCTGGTTTCTAGCGTTGTAAGTCCACAGACATGCCACTGTGCCACTGGGGGGGGGGGCAGGAATATTGATTCCAGTCATTAACAATACTTAGTTTCGTTTATATTTTGCTTAACAAAACCTGGTGGTTAAGGAGCTCGAATCGCAAATTGAGGGACCGAATCACGGCATTGATCATTTTCGCCTTTTCCGCTGTAGCGGAATCCCACTATACGTTGGTAAAAGGCTACGAAAGAGTTAGCTATGGGTGGTGGTAACAAGCTTCCTTCCCTCCAGTCTGTCATTTCAAAATTAGAGACGGCCAGCGCAGATACTCCTTCGGTAGTTTTGTGCAAAATTCAATAAGCAGACATTCACATCTCATCACAGCTCCATCGTAAACTTAGAAAACTTACTTGTACAACTTCCAACAATAAACATAAAATCAGAAATAGTTTTTCTTCTACCCAAAAGCTGGCTTTTCTGTTCATATGTTATATTTTATTTATGTTTTATCTATCAATCAAAGAATTTCTGTGTTCCGTAAGTTCATTATATTATCCATTGTGTGTTTGTTTCTCGTTAAGCACAAAGCTACACAACAGGTTGTCTTTGCTCTGCCCACCGCGAGTATCGAAACCTGATTTTTATATTTTATACAGGTAATATTATTTGTAAAGTTTGTAAATTGATCAATATGCAGAATTTCTAGAGCCTTATTCGTTGTCAAGTTAGAGTATCTTTCGAGATACTAATAATTTAGAATTAACATATCTGTCCCATTTCTTTAAGACCAATCAACAACGTTTAGATGAAACAAATATTTTAAACATCATTAAAAGGCATATCAGTAAAGTTCTCCGAGGAAGGGTTCACTATTGAAAAGAAATTTATGTGTGAAAGTTTGTCGCTGAACAAATCGTGACAGAAATGTTAGAAATTTGCTGTAAAATATTTTGCTGTGAGAAAAATATCTTGAAGTAAAATGTGTTACTGTGATATACATATATTTCCTTATTTCATGCATTTCTATTGGAAATTTTTATCCTGAGCATTTCCTATGTCGAATACTCAAATGACTAACTATATTTTTTTTACATGGCGAACTTTCTTGAATTTCCAGGTAAAGATCTCTATTGTAAATATACTAATCCTGCTCTTATCCATCCAACATGTGTAGGATAAGTAATATAGAAAACTAGTCCTAAACATGATATTACAGATTTATTGTTTTTCCACCAAAGGTAAAATTGAAAACATAATCTGTGATGTAGAGGCATAACATATTTTTTTATTCGCCGTATCCTCTGCTTGACTGCAGTTTTGCCTATTCAAAGCTCATCAGCACAACTTGGATCAACTAACCTAAGGTATGATTTGAATTTCGCGCAAAGCTACACGAGGGCTATCTGCGCTAGCCGTCCCTAATTTAGCAGTGTAAGACTAGAGGGAATGCTTTCTCTAGTCATCACCACCCACCGCCAACTCCTGGGATACTCTCTTACCAACGAATAGTAGGATTGACCGTCACTTTATAACGCCTCCACGGCTGCAAGGGCGAGAATATTTGGTGGAAATCGAACCCGCGACCCTCAGGTTGCGAATGGAACGCCTAAACCATTAGGCCATATCCGGCCGAACATATTAACTTACCATATAGTAACCTAAAGTAATTTTAGTGTGTAACTAATATTATGACACTATGCATAATTTATTATTCGATATTATATAGCTGACCAAATGTTTAATGTTTATATTAGAGATTTCTTTTTTGTTTTCAACAAAGTTCAAATTAAAAACATAATATGTGATAGAAGGCTACTGCATTCTTTGTTTCGTCGCACCATATGTGGTGAATTAAAAAGGACCCCAAAACACCACATATATTATGTACACATCACCATTATAAGAGGCTTAACCGTATTTCTTTAATTTCCTGGCCCAAATTGTGCTGACGAGCCTTAAATAGGTGAAACTGTAGTCTACGGAAGAGGGTGCATTGAATCAAATAACTTATTTGGCCTCTTCACAGATTATTTTCAAATGTACCTTTGATGAAAAGAAATCTGTAATATAGTAATTAAAAGGTTTATAATATTGATAATGGCATTGGGATAAATGACATAATATTATTCACACACTCAGATTAACCTCAGAGGCGTAGTGAAGGGGATGCAGGGGTATTTGCCGTCAGGCGCCAGGTTCGGGGGGGGGCGCCAAATTAACAACCAGTTTATCCAGAATTTATCTGTTCCCATAAAACCAAAACTATTAAAATGTGTGTGTTATGCTTGACATCAAATATTAATATATCATCAGAAATATCATGCCTAGGGAGGAAATTCATTGGTTTTCAGTGTTAGATTGATTAAAATTTACTGACGTCTCTTAGTTGATAGGAAGCTTAGCAGTTTTGTGAACACATGAGTTGAGAGTTTTTTTTGGGGGGGGCGCCAAATTATGTTTTGCCCCCGGGCACCAAATGCACTCTTCACGTTGCTGATTAACCTAGATTAATTCAGGATGCTATACAATGGCTTTAAAATGATTCAAAACTACATGGATATTATATTTTTAAACATGTTTCTCATAATATGTAGCTAGCATGTCTGTGTAAGGAACTGTTTTTCATTAAACCACGATCATTGTTCGGAGTAAACTATTTTCTGCTTCAACCTTTTTGTTGTAATATTGAAATGTAATTTGTTGTTTCATGGGTATTGGAGACGTTTGATCCATCGAGTGACGCTTAATGTTTCTCCATTGATCAAACTTAGATTTAATTGAGGTAAAGTTTATGAAAATTTTCAAATACTCTTTTATTATTTTTTTCGAATGTTTTCTTTTGCTGATACTGGTAAGTAATGAAAGGTTATACTCGAAATTTCAGTATTACTCAAGTGTCGTGCAAATCTGGACAGCCTAGGCGAATGATTTATACGTATTAAGACTCTACAAACTTTCGTTTTTATATCAAATGTCATTTGGTTTTTTTTTTTAAGAAAGTAAATGATGTGTTCTTCACCCCAGACATTTAGTCCAAAAACACGTGGGTTTGAAAACTTACTACTAAAATGTAAGATATATATACAAAATCTTAAAATATTCATTTGCACAATAATGTAATATTCATATGGTCAGGAGCAGTAGTTTAGTCACATATGCGTTTTATAGATTTTTTTTAACATACAACAAAACCAACACATTTTATTTGTATATTTCATTCATCTTTATACATACTTGGTGATTTTCTTGAGTTGAAGTTTAATTTCTGCGAAACTAGGCCTACATCCTGGTAGTTCCGACCAACACGCGCGAACCAGGTCCATTAGTTCAGCTGAGCATTCATCATAGGCGATCTCTGGGCGATATGGTGGCGTTGTTCCCATTCTGACACGGTCCAAAATTTCTATTTAAAAATCAAATTTCCTTATACTTATTTTACTTTCGTGAAATGCCACTTGAAATTATGCCAAATGTATCTCTACATTTTTTTGTGGCAACTGGTATTATTAGTGTAAATAACTTACCTTCAGGATCTAGAATTGTCTTGTTGCGCCCTCGCCTTTCCATTGATTCGAATGGTCCTGATCGAGTAATCATTTCTTGAAGTATAATGGCAAAGCTGTAAACATCGCCCTTTTTTGAACCTGTTTTCGTAGGAAAAGGTTCTCTAAGGTGTTCAGGAGCCATCCAAAAGAGAGATCCTTAAATGAGAGGAAAATTGTTAATAATTTTTGATGATCAATAACGATCACTTTTTCAAAAGTCATTTTTAATCTGATGATGACCTAAAAAGGTCGAAACGTTGTTATTTGTTTTGTGTTTTAAATAAAAAAATTTAAAACCTCATCACTCGTCTCTACTATAAATATATATTATCTGATCATTTTATTGAACTGCAAAGTCCGTAGCACTAAAATATGTATTTTTGAAACTAGAATTTTCTGGCAGACATTTGCAGTTCATATCATATGACTGGTTACCGGACATTTGTTTTTATTGCCATTAACTGATGGACGCCATTTTATAGAATATAGAAAACTTTGGTTATTTTATTGTTATCTGAGCATTGTACTAGAAATTTGAAGGAATATAATTAAAAAAGAAAAAGTCAAATATCACGATTTTAGAAAAATACATTTATATATATATATATATGTGCGTGAGTTACTCTTTATTCGTTTAGAAAAAAATTACACCTTAATATTTATCCTTACAACAAAGGACTGTTGTCCCTTTTAATATATTTATGCGTACCTATGCCTATGTAACTAACATTTGCTGGTCCCCTTCTGGGACCATAATGTACAGCAATCTAAACAACAGCACTGTCGAATATGTGCTACACATATCTTTATCATATTCCATATCTCACAATGACACAGACAAAATACCAGTTAAATTTCTGGTTTCAGCTGCTTAGCCTATTATTACAATTACCATTTTTGAACACCTTAATGTAGAATATCCACGGGAACATTACCACAATAAAAGCAAAAAAAAAAAAATCCAACTTAAAACCGACCTTTTTTTTTAGCTAACTATAGCTGTGATCAAAAGCTCGTTTTTGATATCGTCTAGCTACGGATTCAAAAATCGAAATAGTAACCTCCCCTAACATTTGATTCTGTATTTGAAGAAGGTGTGCATGCAGATCCAAAAATATTAATATTTTCAAAAACATTGAGCATAAGATAAAATCTGATAATTAACGAAGAATTAGCCATTAGTTTCCTGTTGTAAGATCCAACTTGATATCCTCTGGACTGTATAGAAGTTTGCATTTTTTAAGTGTAAAGAAAATAAAAGAAATCATAAGTTTCATGTATATCATGATATAACGACTGAGACTAATATGATGCCAATGAAAAGAGAACTGTTATGTCATTTTGGACAAAGTAAACGGAAACCAAAAATATACCTATTTCACGGGTTTGTTTGCTTGTATTTAAACATAAAACTTCACAATGGGCTATATGTGCTCTGCCCACCACGGGTATCAAAAACCGGTTTCTAGCGTTATAAGTCTGCAGACTTGCGGGCCTATTTCAGAGAAGATCCATGACTAACAGATCAAGTTTTAAATCTGTGACAGATTTATTATTATATATTTATTTTAATATCGATGTTTGCTTGAATTATATTTATATTTACAAGTGTACATAACTTATACAGTTAAGTATGTGTTGTGAAACTCTCGCCTATTCTCTAAAGTTGTAGACGATTCTCGAGTAAAATAATCAATAATATATGTGTGTGTACATAAACATATTGTTACATAATCTGAATTTTCTAGAAACTCTCCAAATATAACCAACGCAACGCGCAAAAAAGAGTATCTATTATTAGTTTGGTATAGTCAGTG